TTTCATATTATAAGACTTTCTAGCATTGCCCACATATATATGTATAGATTTATTAACATACATATTAATGTGAACAATACTAGAAAATCTTATAATATGAAACGTAGGAAGTACTAGCTACCAACCAGGTAAATCATAAGGCCATCACCAATGCGTACCCCCGAACGTGTCCCTGCTCACGGCCGTCTCCGTTCCGTCGCTTTGCCGTCCCCCATAAGAGGGGCGCGGCTCTATGAGCGCATCGGCTGGGGGGCGCGCGGGGGAGGGGGAGGCGAGCGAGGAGGCGCGTTGGGCGGGGCGTGGCTAGGGAGTAGCCCAAGGGCACCGCTCTGTCCTCCTGTTTTTCCCCTTCTACCCTCGCCGGCCGCTGGAGGAAGAGAGAGGCGGAGACGAGAGAGAGACCGACCGCGCGCCACGACGATGGATCCGTGATGAGGCCACCGCGCGTCGCGGCAGCCGTCGGCCCAGCTCGCCTTAGCCATCGGTGGAGGGAGCGGCGGGATCTCGAGCTGTGGCCGAAAATAGCAGCGGAGAGAGAGAGAGAGAGAGAGAGAGAGAGAGCGGCGACGGATCCGCGGGCGGAGTAGGCGGCTCTCCTCGTCGCCCTCACCGACGAAGCTCCGGCGGCCGCGACGGTCCTCCTCATCACCCTCCGTTCGCCGCTGGAGAGAGAGAGAGCGCCGGGGTGGATGGTAATGATGGCACGACGGAGGAGGCCGAGGTGGATGGCGACGGGAGAGAGAGAGGTGTGGCGGTGGACACCGGCGACGGGAGAGGCGGCCCTCCTCGTCATCCTCGCGACCGCTGGCGACGGGAGAGGCGAGCGGCGGCGACGGTGAGAGAGAGAGGCAAGTGCAGCGGCGAAAAAAGGAGAATGGGGGGCGGGAGAAAGAGATTAGGGTAGGGTAGTAAAAATAAATATGGGGCTTTGTAGGCTGGGATACCCATTATGGGTTGGAGTGTCTCTATTAAGGCCCTGTTTGTTTCAGCTTAAAATTACTGTAATCTAGATTATAGAACTAGATTACTATAAGCTGGATTATAATAAATCGACATAGAATAAGCTGTTAGCTGTTTGTTTCTCTGAATTATTAGTTGTTTGTTAGCTGTTAGCCACCCAATAATCTAAAAAAACACCTTTATGCCCTGTTAGTTTCAGCTTAAAATTATTGTAATCTAGATTATTGAACCAGATTACTATAAGCTGAATTATAATAAGTCGACATATAATAAGCTGTGAGCGGTTTGTTTTCCTGGATTATAAGCTGTTTGTTAGTGTTAACCACCCAATAATCTAAAAAAGCAATTTTAGAGTGGATTAATAGATTATAGTAATCTGGCTTATAGATTATAATAATATATCATAATAAGCTATTTGTTTATTTTAGCTTATTTCTAATAATCCAGATTATAATAATCCTAAGCTGAATCAAACAGGACGAGCAGCTTACCGGATTATAGTAATCTAGCTTATAGATTACAATAATCTATCATAATAAGCTATCTGTTTGTTTTAGCTTACTTCTAATAATCTAGATTATAATAATTCTAAACTGAATTAAACATGGCCTAAGTTGCTTCAGTTTTTTAGGAGCCCATCAGGGATATTCTCCATTGCGAGCTGAGTTTCTCTACTAGTGTTCTTAGTTAGTGAGGAAACTTTAGCAGTGGCTTACATTACATTATAGATGCCTAGACCACGGTACAGCGGCCAGCGCGGATAAATCCTCCCTAGGAGTAAATATTGCACCAAACCAAATCATATGGCAGCCTCGGTTGCTCGGTGCCCACATGCCCCCGACAATTTCACCAGCGCATGCAGGCAGAAACCGGCACCTGCATGGACGCAAGTTCCGAGGCGCACCCCCGTGACGTGACGGGCTAGCCGCCGTGGTACCGCCACACGGCGGCTTCTAGCTACTCCGTAGAAAAGACGCGCTCCCCGGCGCCGCGCCCATGCACCGCGCGCTCGATCAAAAGACGGCATATTGGCATGTTTTCTCCGTCATCACGAGACCAGCGCCGCGCGCGGGCGCGCCTCCGCCCCCGATCGAGACCGAGAGGCGAAAGCCCCCGCACGGCACGGCGCGCGCGCACGCGCGGATACGTGGCGTGGCGTGGCGGGTTGGCGTGTGGTTGATCGATCGATCGATCGATGCGTATGCGTACATGGTGGCGCGACGGGCGGACGACGTGGTGGTCGTTTGGCGTGGTGATCCGATCGAGCTGGACGGATCGACTATATGCATCCGTCGTTATCCCTTCACCCTTCGATCGATCTGGAATAATTCTCTGGATGTGGCCGTGACGAGGACGCGACCGGCCTTTTTGTCACTCGCGGCGCTGGCCGCTGAGTTGGTTCCGTTTCCGCTCTCGCTAGCTATACGCCTATACCCCACCCGTCGTCAGTCGTCACTGCGCTCCATCCCGGATATATTCCGGCCGCGCAGCCGCGCTGATGCTGCATTGCTACTTGGGCTTGTGCGTGCGTATATTGCTCTCTAGCTGGCATTGGCAAGGCAGCTGTGAGCCTGTGACACCCAAATCTATCACAAGTAGTGTAATTTTGGCCACAGCTAGCATGCAGGGCACGTCATTATCGATCATCACCCGATCCATCGAGCAGTACCTGCAGGCACTTTCACGGGTCATATATATGCACGTAAGACCAATCGGAATTGCGCATATATATATGGTCCTTCGTGTACATGTTTCCCTGATTTTCTTTCCTCGAAACATAGATTTCATGCATGTTAGTATCTCCTTACCTGGTAGGTTTAACCTCCATGGTCAAACTGTCTATAATCTGCCAACTAAACAGGGCACCAACGTGACTATGTGAGATATATCATTAGTCAACGAATCTATATCCAAACCAAGATCAACGTCCTCGAGTGCTGCCATGATAACCCAATCCACTAATTATCTATATACCCTCTCCTAGCTAATTATAAAACGTACGGACACCAGCTAATCATGCCCACCCTAGCCTAGACTCCGTTGCTCTCGCGTCGCCACGCAACTTAATTAATTTAGCCCCTAATTAATTAGCAGCCAATCAACGGGGACGATTGCACGCCTGATGCTAAACAGAAAACGCTTCAATTCCTTGAACGACTTTCCTAAGCTGATTTGGGGCCTCGCCCGCCCGCCTGGCCTGGCGCGCATATAGCTAGTCTCGCGTGCATGTGCCCGCGTCGCCGCCTCGCGAGGCGCTGCCGCTATTAGCGCAGGGCATTCGGGAGCAGCAGCGTATCGCCATATGATCCACCCGCTGTCGCGAGGCGCGCGCAAGCAAGGCCAAGGCGGTATATGCACAGCGCAGCCAGCGCGCAGCGGCCGGCCGGGCGGTGCGGCGGTGTGCCGATGCGAGGGCGTACGTGACAAATCATCGTTTGCCGCGCGCGCCGCCGGATCGGTCTGCTTACTGGTGGGTGGTGGCGCCTTGTGCGCGTAACCTCCCGGAACATGGCGAGCGAAACGGCAAGATTCCAAGGCGCCGAGGTACAATTGTACTTCGGATACGTACAACGACTAAAAATTTGGGGCGGATAATGCGAGATTGATTACTCTGCCACCACGACGTGCATGCCGGATCGAGCCACGTCGTATTCGGTTGAGGCTTGGAGAGATAACCTTTTGTAAAAAGAAAGCTAGTGTTTGTTTTGAGGGATATGTGGACTCGTGATCGGTTTTGCTGATGATTTTTCCTTAAAAGATGATGGTACAAGGTATAAATTAAGTCAGGTTTGTCACCATTCTGTTTCTTATGACTATAGCGTACGTCAACGGAAATAAAGTCATACGATCGAGCATGCTGTGCTGCGTGAAAAGGCAAGTGATGTTAATTTGTAAGTCAACTTGTGTTTTCGTGAGTCACATTCTCGAACCTGATTAGATAGAACTGGATACGTGCAGGTTCTGAGAGATATACCAATCCAAATGCTAGGGAAAAAAACTGGCGTAGAGTTTATGCAGATGACGTGACGCGTGAACTATGTTGTGCAGAGAAGGCGACGATGCAATGGGTCCGCTTTTACGCTTTAAGCTTGTTGCGTGGGTGCGTTCGTAAATACAAACAGAATGACGAAACACGAACGCCTGCACTTGAGTGTGGACGATGGATATGAGCCTGCAAGGATGCGTGAAAGATTGTACCAAAGCATGATTTTGTTTTCTTTTGAGCAATGTGATACCGTTAGTACTCCCTCCGTCATATAATATAAGGGATTTTGAGTTTTTATTTACACTGTTTGATCACCCGTCTCATTCAAAAAATTTTAAAATTATTATTTTTTTTTACTTACTTTATTATCCAAAGTACTTTAAGCATAACTTTTCGTTTTTTATATTTGCACAAAATTTTTTTAAATAAGACAAGTAGTCAAACAGTGAAAGAAAAACTTAAAATCTCTTATATTATGGGACGTAGGGAGTAGTTAGTAGATGCTACTAGCACATATTTTCTCCGTCCCATAAAAAACCAACCTAGTATCGGATGTGACACATACTAGTAGTACGAATCTAGATTTGTATATTCAGATACTAAGTTGAATGTATGTCCAAATTTGTAGTACATGGATGTATCACATCTGATACTATGATGATTTTTTATGGGATGGAGGGAGTACTAGTACGCCATATTAGCAAAACTAGTACTTTGTAACACTGTAATAGCATGATTTGACGTGATGCAACATTACTGCATACACGTCTGTTTAGGGATGAAAACGGTCGGAAAAACCCTCTACCATTTCCATTTTCATTTTATTTTTTCGAAAATGGAATCGGAACGGTATACTCGAAAACGGTAACGATATCGGTAATGTCGGCATATCGGAAACGGAACCATCGGAACGGGAATCTACCGTTATCGGTCGGAAGTCGAAAATTCATGTCGGAAACAGCGAACCGTGGTATCATCCCACATTTAACTATGTATGAAGATGACCTTATAATTTCACCCTTGCATGATCACGATGCCACACAACACCGTTATATGATGATTAATAAGTTGACAATAAGGTCGACAAACAATATAAACAAAGTTCAACGATACTTCAACATTAATGTGGCTACAGCATACAATAGGATGATGATGCAGTCACACCCACATGATGACTTCCACTTGCACTTCCAGATGCAGCAGATTGAGATTCTTAAAAAAAAGAGGAAGTGATTAACGATTAACACAAGGCTCAAGCTATACATCTTAAAAAAACATGCTCAAGGATTAAGCTGTACATCTACAAAAATCGCGCTTGCACATCAACAAAAAATCGTGCTCAAAAACATTAAGGCTCAGGCATTCATCTGTACATGTAAAAAAATCATGCTCAAGCATTCAAGCTATATGCCTATACCTGGTGGACCTGGCAAACGCAACGGTGGCGAACTCAATGTTCATGTCTCTGTTGTTGCCGTCGGATGGATCCAGAAGCTAGGATGCGGCGTTTTCCTCCGGCAGGTGCCATCTTGCTTCTCCGGCAAGGGACGCGGCGAGGCGCGAGGATGCGACGGCTAGGACTAGCAAGCGGCGGTGTGGCGGCATGGACATGTGGTTGCGGCGGCGGCGGTGTGGCGAAGAGCTGTGCGATAGCGCGAGAGTCGCGAGAAAGGGAGAGGATGAGAAGGAGAAGCGACACGCCGGCTGACGCCCTAGGGTTTTTCTTTCCGGCCTAAATGCCTAATGTGCTGCTCCTGCTAGCAAGGTCCAGCCGGCTTCCTTCTTCGGAATTTTGTCGGGGAAATTTGACGAAAATTACCAATAAAAAACGGTTACCGACAAAACGGTCGGAAAAAACCCCATATCATTTCCGCTACCATTTTCGGAAGAGATTACCGTTTCCATTTCCGATACCGACAATTACCGATACTGACAATTATCAATACCGACTGAAACGGTTAGTGCAAACCGGAAACGGTAGCCAGAATTCTCGGAAATTTCCGTACCGTTTTCATCCCTACAACTATTGCGCACATAGATACCCCATCCGTAACATGTATAGTACTACATCCAAAGCGGAAAGCGATGCGACCCTATCCCGACAAGCCCAACTATGCCCAAGCATTGCAAGCTGCTGCTACTACTACTACACTATTGTAGCAAACCAAAAGTGACTGCTTGCTCGTCTGTAGCCTGTAGATGAGCAGCGAGCGCTGAAAAGAGAAAAGATAAAAACTGCAGAGATGCCCGTCCCTGTCCCGTGGTAACGAACGGATCCATCCATCCAGCCGAATTCCGGCGCAGCGAGCGTAACTTTGACCAAGCGCCGCGCCGCGCCGAGCAGCAGCAGCTGCAGCCATCCATCCAATCTCCGAGCCAGCACGGCGCGCACAAGCCCGCGTCGCCACCCGGACTCCACCACCAGTCCACCACAGCACAGTTCCCCCCGCAACAACTTGAGGCCAAATGCCCCAAATGTGCAGTTACCCGCGGCGCGATCCTAAACCAAAAAAAAAAAAAAAATCGAGCTGCGTGCCCCGCCCCACGCAGAGATAAATACGCACTCCGACGCAGCCCTGCTGCCGCATACGGACACACACGGAGCCCGAAACGCGAGCACAACACCAACGCACAAGCCGATACAGCACCAGCAGCCGCAGCAGAAGCGCTCGCGAGTTTGCGAGAAGTGAACCCGCGGCGGCTTTTGCCTTTGCTCCTGCTTTGCGGTGAGGAGACGCGCGCGCATTGGCGCCGCCGTCGCCGCGACGCCCATTGCCGTGTCGATCTCCCCGTCCCGGTGGACTATCGCGCGCGTTTTTTTGGCGGGGAGCGAGGCGGGCTAGCTTGCTAGCTAGCCGCGGGGCGGCGGGTCGGGAATGGCGGGCCGCCGCCGCGTGGTGGTGCTGGTGGTGGCGGCAGCGCTGTTGGTCGCCGTGGCCTCGGCCGGCGCGAGCGGCAAGTCGGCGCGGTTCGAGCTGCTCCGGCTCGCGCCGGCGGCGTCCCTGGCCGACCTGGCGCGCATGGACCGGGAGCGGATGGCGTTCATCTCGTCGCGCGGGCGGCGCCGCGCGGCGGAGACCGCGTCCGCCTTCGCGATGCCGCTCTCCTCCGGCGCGTACACCGGGACGGGCCAGTACTTCGTGCGCTTCCGCGTGGGCACCCCGGCGCAGCCGTTCCTGCTCGTCGCCGACACCGGCAGCGACCTCACCTGGGTCAAGTGCCACCGCGCCGCCGCCGCCGCCTCCGCCTCCCCCAGAAACGCCTCCTCCCTCCCGGCGCCTGCGCCGGCCTCCCCTCGCCGCACGTTCCGGCCGGACAAGTCCCGGACGTGGGCGCCCATCCCGTGCTCGTCCGCCACCTGCAGGGAGTCCCTCCCCTTCTCCCTCGCCGCCTGCGCCACCCCCGCCAACCCCTGCGCCTACGACTACCGGTCAGTGTCCCACTCCCACCACCACCATTCTCTCTTCTTCTTCCTCATCATCCGCATTCGCATTCGCATTTGCTCCTCCCTAATACAAAAACGTTAGCCCGCGTAATGCGATTTCAATGGCGATCGATCGGTCCGGGTGGGGCGCGGTTCGGTCATGGCATTGATGAGATGCGAGCAGCAGCAGCTGCTGCAATTAGTGGCTGGTTGGTGGGCGAGTCGGATCTCTCCACGCCAAGGCCATCCATGGCAATGGCAGACGCCGCGGGGCCGCGATTAATGCGGCGCCATTGATGCACGCAGCCCTGCTCTTCTCTGGGCAGCAGCTCCGGCCTGTCTCCCCTGCGTGCGTACACATTACCCTTCTTGTCCAGTTCAAAGCACTAAAAATACCATTGTAGTAGAATACTTCTACATCATCGCAACTCCTCCTGTGACGATGGAGACGGAACCGAAGTCTTTCTGATCGCAACTCCGGTCGATTCTGCCGCTGGTTTTTTTGGGTCGGAGGCGTCGTCGGATCGTCGCTTTCTCGGGGAGCACATTGAATGCGTCGACGACCTGTCATGTGGGCTTTGCTCTGCTTGCCCACACGCGTTCGTTCACTCATCGCGTCTTCTTCTCGTATATGCTTTTTCCCCCGCTAATAATCCGAGCTGTCACGGGCACACGCGCGAGGCCATCCATCATCCATGATCCATCATCGCTTCTGCTCTCTGGAAAGCGATTTTAGCCGAATCACGCCTTGATGCTGATCTCCGAGCTCTGAAAAGCGAGAGCTTTACTCGACAGAGAGACCGATCACATCACCTCCATCTGTTCTCTGCTGCATTGGATCCTAGACACCGGAGAAAAGGACGCACCTCCCATCTCGCCACAGGATATCGATATGCATGCCTGCCTGCTTGCCCGGCCGTCCTCCGTGTACTACTATTTGTTTGCTGCTGCATGCACGTTGCCGGTGGTCATTCCTAGGCCAGCCAATTGTTGTTTACTTGGGTTTTTTTATGCACTGGAACAAAAAGAAGAGGCACAACGACGTCGTAGAACGGCAGGCAGCAACAGCGATAGCTAAAAAACTGCGGTTCATCGAGCATGGTGTGGCTGCTGGCAGCAGTGCTCGGCTTTGTTTTTCCTCCCTTCGCCATGTGCACGGTGGATTGGGCTGTACTCCATCAGTGTCTGCTACTGTGTCAGGATATTGAACATATTCCTTTATAGGATTAAAGTGGAGGTTGTAAGCATCTGCTTACTAGATCACGTAATCATCCAAGCGTTTATCTTTTGTTTTCGTTGCCACCAAGAGATGTACGCATGATCATCATCGATTTCAAAATAGCATACTCTAATTATTCAGCCTTTGGGATTCCACAAAAAACACTGTGGACTCTCGAGACTGGATAGGCGTTATGGAGACATGGAGTTCTTTGTGGTACACAACAAGGTGTCCCACGAAACCGGCCAAAAGAACAGCAAGAGACCGCCCACATTGTCATACATACGTATTTTGGATTTTTGCTTTGTTGTGAACATGCGAGTTGTAGACTGCTCTTGTACTGGTAATCACGTTCTTTCGCCTGTATGCCTATCTGTCAAAGAAGATATCATGTGCCGAGTTGGGGTTTGTACTTTTTACGACCCAAAATCAAATTACTTTTAGTCTGCAACGATAATGTTGGATTTTACTAGTATCAATCCCCCTTTTATTCTGCATCAAAGGACGTCGACATGGGTAATCTGCGCAAAAACAAAACATAACTTGTTTCTTACATAGTCTTCGCTATCAACTCTCAAATGATCTATATTAGTCCTCTTGGGGAGAGGGGAAATATGTAGCCCCACGTGAGTATTGTCTTAGTGTTGGACCATACCTGGGCGGTTGGGCCACGTTCTCCTTGGTCAAAGCATGCTTTGACCGTCATAAATTAGCTAACCCTCCGGTCCAAATGTAACTGTACTACCTGAAGATCCCGGTTCTTTTAAAAAACATAACTATAGTAGTACCTTGGAATGGAGTTGAGCTGCTACTCAAGTACTATCATTTGCACCGTGCCACCGTCCATCTCATGATCTTGAGACATGCGTCTGCTTAGGGGGTTTTTAGGAGAGAGTGGCTTCTCTCAAAAACATAAGTCTCTCCCGCAGGGACTTATGGTTTTGTGAGAGGTCCCAAACACCCTCTTAATCAGGTTGGCATTGTGGACTTGACACTGCTGATGTTAGGGCATCTCGATCTGGTCTCTGCTGTGCCACTGCCATGTTAGGTCTATGCGATACAGTTCATGAGAAGACATGGCTTTTCCATTAGCTCAATGATTGTGCTGTAGAGGATTGCATTTTGCTTCAAGGATGTGTTACTAGCTTGCAGGACAGCCCTTGTGCACCACTTGTGTTGCCTTTCAAGTGCTGCCCAATTCAAGCATACTGCATACAGTGCACGGATGCATGCGAAAATACCTACTCCCTCAGTCCCACGGTATAAGGGATTTTGAGTTTTTTGATTGTAATGTTTGACCACTCGTCTTATTCAATTTTTTTTTTCAAATATAAAAAACGAAAAGTTGTGTTTAAAGTACTGTAGATAATAATAAAGTAAGTCACAAATAAAATAAATAATAATTTTAAAATTTTTTTGAATAAGACGAGTGGTCAAACGTTACAAGTAAAAACTTAAAATCTCTTATATTATGGGACGGAGAGAGTAACTTTTTTTTTTCTTCGCGTGTTTTTTATTTGAAAGCAATCACTTGGTCAATTTGGTTGTCTTCAGGAGATTGGTTTGATGGCATAAGATTAGCTGCAATTTGCAATGTTTTGTTAAGTCGATACCTCGATGATGGCTAAGAGAGTTCACGCGATCCTTGAATCGCGCCATGCACGTAATTAAACCGTGGCGTATTTTGACTTGCTCGGCGGCACGCAGGTACAAGGACGGGTCGGCGGCGCGCGGCACGGTGGGCGTCGACTCGGCGACCATCGCGCTGTCGGGGCGCGCGGCGAGGAAGGCGAAGCTGCGCGGCGTCGTGCTGGGCTGCACCACCTCCTACAACGGCCAGAGCTTCCTGGCCTCCGACGGCGTGCTCAGCCTCGGCTACAGCAACATCTCCTTCGCGTCGCGCGCCGCGTCGCGCTTCGGCGGCCGCTTCTCCTACTGCCTCGTCGACCACCTCGCCCCGCGGAACGCCACCAGCTACCTCACCTTCGGGCCCAACCCGGCGTTCTCCTCGCGGCGCCCGTCGGAGGGCACCGCCTCGTGCAAGCCTGCGCCTGCGCCCACGCCCGCCCCCGCAGGCGCGCCCGGCGCGCGCCAGACGCCGCTGGTGCTCGACCACCGGACGCGCCCCTTCTACGCGGTCACCGTCAAGGGCGTCTCCGTCGCCGGGGAGCTGCTCAAGATCCCGCGCGCCGTCTGGGACGTCGAGCAGGGCGGCGGCGCCATCCTCGACTCCGGCACGAGCCTGACGATGCTGGCCAAGCCGGCGTACCGCGCCGTGGTGGCGGCGCTGAGCAAGAGGCTCGCGGGGCTACCCAGGGTGACCATGGACCCGTTCGACTACTGCTACAACTGGACGTCGCCGTCGGGCAGCGACGTCGCCGCGCCGTTGCCAATGCTGGCCGTGCACTTCGCCGGGTCGGCGCGCCTGGAGCCGCCGGCGAAGAGCTACGTGATCGACGCGGCGCCCGGGGTGAAGTGCATCGGCTTGCAGGAGGGCCCGTGGCCGGGCCTGTCCGTCATCGGCAACATCCTGCAGCAGGAGCACCTCTGGGAGTACGATCTGAAGAACCGACGGCTCAGATTCAAGAGGTCGCGGTGCATGCACTGATTCAACGGTGCCGATCACTCCCTCCACTTCTTTTATTTTTTTTCTCCGTGTGGTGGTGGTCTGGCTGATTTTTTTTTGTTTTATTTTACGCCGTGTTCAGATACTAATGCAATGAGAAAATGTATCAAGCAAAAAATGGTAATCTGTAATAAGTTTTCCTTTTCTTTTCTTTCACCCATCTGTTCTTCTCATTCCGATGAATATAAGTGTATAGATTTTCTCCGTGCAAATACTAGGTGCCCCTGATCACGTTCCACGAATTCCATTCTACAGTAAGTCAGTAAGTATTAAGTAAAGTGTCGATCCCAAAAATAAAAAATAAAGATAAAATGTTGCCCCTGAGGCCAGTTAGAACTTAGAACGCTTCCCTTCAACGTCCGAACTGCAAAGCCCAATAGGCCCAATAGGAAGGAGGAAAGAGTCAAACTGACGAAATGACGAGCAGAAATAAGTCCAGGAATCGAAACGGAGACCCCGAGGAAATGGAAGGCGGCGGAGCAACCGCACCCGCCGCGCCGCACCCGGCGGTGGCGCCGCTGGCGTTCCTGCTGGGGAAGTGGCGCGGGGAAGGCGAGGGGAGCTTCCCCACCATCTCCCCCTTCCGCTACGGCGAGGAGCTCCTCTTCTCCCACCACCCCTCCAAGGTAAACGACCTCCTCGCCTGTATCTGTATATCTCTTTCGCTCGCCAAAGCTTTTACCTTTTCTCGACCATGCCGCACGCAGCCGGTGATCTCGTACACGCAGAGGACGTGGAAGGCGGCGTCAGGCGAGCCGATGCACGCCGAGAGTGGGTACTGGCGGCCCCGCCCCGACGGCTCCGTCGAGGTTGTCATCTCGCAGAGCACTGGTCTGGCCGAGGTTCAGGTGAGCTCCTACTGCCAATCGAGTTATTATTCTAAACGTGGCCTGATGTTAAGAGTCTATCTTGCACCTGCAATGCTCCTTGAGAACAATCGCAAATTGCTATGCTGGTAGCTGCAGTCTGCAGAGTATGTGCTGACTGGTGAGTGAATTGATTCTCTTGTGCTACGCCAAGAGCCATTAGGAGGAACACTCGATATCATTGAAATGTGACCTTAACTGGTGTGAAACTTGTGTTGACCCACATTTAGCTATCCATAATTGGAAAGAGCAATGCCTGCTACTATGTATTAGGAAACCCAGAACCCGAAGAGATCGGCAGCAAGAACTTGAACAAAAACAACACACGTGAACACTGTAGTCCAGGGGCGGAGCTTGGGCAAGCCTAATTAAAACCGTTACCCATATATTCAACAGTTAAAAAACAACATTTTTATTAGAAAAATGGACTATTAGTATGTGTGGTCTCCTACATGGATGCTTAGGCACCGATTAATTCACATAACTAATTTTTCTGGCCTTAAGTGCATGCACAAACAGACTCAACCAAATGCGCATGCATGCAAAAGCAAAAATCAAGCACCCATCTTGCTGCTTGCATTGAAAATATGGCACTCTATGAGGTTTTTAACTGACACTTTGCCTGGAAAGACAACAAATTAGTGTAGAGAAATCAGTCGATCTCAATGGATCGCACATGCGGAGAACCCTAGCCGGACAATGAATCCGCTGCACTATAGTCAATCCTGCATGCTAGGAAATTTGTGCTGCGAACAAGCTGCAACGTTTTCTAGTTTTCTTGCTACTTTCCATGGCATTTGGCTTGCCCAGCTCCTTGGCGATTTCAAGAACACTAAATTTGGCATCGTTGAGCTGAAGGTGCACAATAAGTCTAGCTTGGCCCTCATGAAGAATACAATTTTCCATGATAGAAGCAAGCACATCCAAACGAAGTTTCATTTTATTCATGATGCATTGGAGAATGGAGAAATTCAGCTAGATTTCATCAGCACTAGAGGTCAACGCGCAGATATCCTGACCAAGGCGCTACCTTATGCAAGATTTCAAGAACTGCAAGATCAAATTAGTATGGTTTCAATTGATTAGGCACACTAGTTTAGAGGGAGATTTGTTAGAATAAACATGTGTGCCTAATTTATTTAAGTTAGTTTTCTCTCCGTTGCTTTGCGTTGGTCTATATACACAAGCTCACAAGTTGTGTGGTTGTCATGTGTGCGAGTTGTTTGGGGCGTTCGAGATTAGCTCATGGTTGGCCACGTCCCACGCCATGACCGAGACACACGTCGTGCACCATGCACATGGATGCGACACTAGCACGACATGAGAATCGCTCTTGCCTTAGTTATTTCCGTTGTTACCAACTGTCTTTAGATAGCAAGAAAACCAGAAAACTGTGCAGCTTGTCCACAGCACAATTTCCGCAGCTTGTCCATAGCACAATTTCCTAGCGTGCCGAATTGACCATAGTGTACGTTGTGTTTGTCTTCATCAGCAGCAGCAGCAGATAGCCAGTTGAGTCTCCCGCCTCTTTGACGACGCGGTGTATAACCAGCCTGTGGTCGCTCCCGAAGCATGGCAGTCAGAGCCTCCAGGAGCACGTGCGGTTGGTGACGCTGACTGCTGACACAGAGAGTGAGTGCATCCTCGAGACATGAACATGTTGTAAAGAGCACGATCTCAAGTCCAAGCCTTGAACCTCGCTCTGATATCAATTGTTAGGAATCCCCAATAGATCGGCGGCAAGAACTCGAACAAACACAACGCACACAAACATTGTAGTCAATCCGGCACTCTAGAAAAATTTGTGCTGCGAACAAGCTGCAGCGTTTTCTGGTTTTCTTGCTATATCTAAAGGCAGTTGGTTACAACGGAAATAACAACACGAGAGCGATTCACACGCCGCGCTAGTGCCGTGTCCCGCATGACGTGTGTCTCGTTCATGGAGTGAGATGCTGGCAGCCACGAGATAATCTCTGATGCCCCAAATAAACTCGCACGCACGGCAACCGCACAACTCGTCAGCTCGTGCATATAGACCTATGCAAAGCGACAGAAAGAGAACTAAACTAAATCAGGCAGACATGTTGATTCTAACACTATGATCATTCATCAGCCTGCAATCTTCTGATGTTTCCATTTTGCATATTCTTGTCAATGTTATGGTTTGCTCGGTCCTTCCCCTCTATTTCAGAAATCGTTCCAAGAATCTCTCCAAACATGTTTGTGAATATAGTTCAATGCCCAAATGATAGTTGTCATTCTGTACATCTATGGTTAATACGGCCAAAAGGTAATGACGAATCAGCTAGTAGGTTTTGAATTCGGATTAATCATTCCATTAATAATTTTTCTTATGTCACATTCCATTGATAATGTTTCTTATGTCACTTAGCGAGAGCTCTTTTAATTTATATGTCTTCCTAATTGTGTTTCGATTTATCTCCATGCATTCACTTCCAAATTGCAGAAGGGTTCGTTTGATGCTGAAAAGAAAACAGTGACGCTCCAAAGCGAACTTGTGGGGAACGCATCCAAGGTACTTTTGTTCTGCTCACAAGAATATTGCAGATGAATTACCAATCTATAGTTTTCTTCAAATGCACTAATTTAATTTGCTTAATACCGTGCACTACATTGAAATAACATTGCCATATGATTTTACTGCATTATCGGCACACTTGAACCACCAGGTCTCCGAGATTATGTCCAACTGCTACAGCCTCAGTAGCCTGAAAACTCTGGAGTGGTTTACTAGATACTTCTACAATTTGGATACTTCTAAAATGATACTGAGATGAATTTAGCTTGTGTTTTTTCATTATTACAGTTTTTGACAAAGGTCTTGTGTGTTCTTGTCAGGTGAAACAGATCACAAGAGCTTTTCAATTGGTAGATGGGGAGCTCTCATATGTTGTTCAGATGGCAACAATCACAACCAGTCTACAGCCACATCTCAAAGCCCTTCTGAAGAAGATTTGAACGATACTGCGCCCCTCTAGGGGCGCAGTGCGGCGGCGTCTGTGGCACTTCTGGATTTTTATGTTAAAATAATAATGGTATTTTTGCCTATTATATCTGGGAATTGGGGCAACCTGCCCCTACTAGTTTGACATAATAGACGCTGAAAATACGCCCTTCAGAGTTCAGATAATGTCCATGCGAGTTCGGGCTTGTTCATGCGCATGAGAGTTCAAACTTTGTTGCGTTAAACTTAATTTAATTTACCATCAGTATTTTCACAAATATAACGCATTCTTTTCATTCGTTGGCGTGTGACGGATCGACAAAACAACAATATCATAACACAAGAGTCCATCGAAACAATAGGTAATTTCAGAGTTTCAATAAGAGGTTGGATTGTCCGCGGAAAGAATAGGTAGTTTCAGAGTTTCAATAAGAGGTTGGATTGTCCGCGGGCCGTGTGATTTTTAAACAAAGCTTAATCGTTTGATAACCTCACTAAGCTAACCAAACAGAATAGGCTCAGAAATGACAGACGCCATAGCCAAATAAAAAACAAGTTTTGCATCGCAAAGCGCTCATTCAATATTTGGATCGCAGGTAACTGATTTTAAGTTCACAATGGCTTCAAAGTACAGGTTTTAGCAACATGCTTAGGAGATCCTAAAGTAGAGAACAAAAATGCTAAACGATGTGCTTTGGCTCAACAGCCAATATAGGTCTTGACTCGATACAGAATCACAGGACTCCTTACGGCACAAACGTAGTGCAATCAGGCTTCAGTCTGCTCCCTCAGACGACGGATTGTGCTCCTGACAGTGACCGCACTAGCAGTGCTGCAGAGACACGATACAAAATAAGCTAAATATGGTGTGAAAATAGATGGTTTAATTTAAAGGTAAAAAGTGCTGGCAACAAGAACATACTTCATGGTGTAAGCACCACCGGCCTTCACCTTCCCACAGTCCTTGCATCCCCAGATTCCAACTGCTTTCCTCTTCACGGCAAACTGTAATAGCACACAACAACAGCAGCATTAATGCCAAGGACTGCAGCTTTTAATAAAACAGATGAAACTTGATATCCCTGACAACTATGGGGGTAAAATGCAGATAATTATTCATATTTATGGTATTGCGCCTTTCTAGATGAAACAATTCAGTAAAAAAGAGATAAAACGCCCATCCATTCAACGATAAAACAACTATGAGAGAGTCTAAACATGCAGGAACAGAAAGATAGGGATATAAGGAAACTTGCTTTCACATATCAAACTACTCTAGAGTTCCTAACAGGCCAATTGAAGTCTAAGACCAAGATTGATTGAGCTTCTATGAAGGAAAAATATACAAAATGGATGGAACGGAAGGTATACGTGTATCCATCTTTCCTTGCTAAGAGGCAACAGCAGCTGATGAAAATAAGTGTTGTGTGTGATACCATCTTGATTTGCAAAAGAAAAAGAAACTGATGCATGGAATTAAAAATGCAATTATGAGACCATCTTTCCAGGCAAAGATATAATACAAGGACTGCTGCATAAAAACATTATCAATGTGCAAGCATGTATTGTAGTCCAGAACTGGTCTGAGATCAATTACTGCAATAGCAGAACTATTGCTGCCCTTAAAGGTCACAGAAGCACAAGACTCTAGACCCTATGCGGTATGATTTCATATACTATTTATTATTACAAACATTATAGAGCATTCACATGCATAGCCAGGAAAGCCTATTTAACACTTCACAAACAGTACAAAGCAGTCAGAAAAATGTACAACAAAAAAGTGAACAAAAGATGTACCTTCCCACAGAACTCACAGAAGTACTTGGAGTGCTGAGAAACCTCCATCTTCTTGATTTGCTTACGCAAACTGGCACCATACCTAGTACCTATAATATTGGAAGAGTTAAGTTGAGAAAAATACAGATACGTGAGCAAGTAAATAAGGCAATTTACAGAACTCCATACCATATTTGCCAACAATTCCAGCCTTCTTGGTGCGCTTCGTCTGAGTAAGCATTGCAAAAACAATTTAGTTACACAACTGGTAGATAAACTGTGATGCTCAGTTAAAACCTAAAGGCTTAAGATTCCAAAGACTACTTAGTATCATGCCAAATGCTTGTTACTTGCATGTAAACATTTAAACTTGTCATTGGAGATAGCATTAAGTCAGGTCTTTTATTTGCTAGAACTAAGCAGTTGACTTCCATGCTACTAGATGCCTTGCAAAGCCTGTTACGCAATATTGGCGTCATACAAGAAGATAACATGGAACAGGAACAATTGGTGGAGAAAGAGAAAAGTATGACCATTTTCCAGGAATAATTGAGTGGACAAATATAGCATTGAAGAGAAACAGTTCAGTGGGATAAAATTTGTAGCTTGTGCCTAGAAAAGTTAGTTTAGCATCAGAGTTCTGAATAAACCCATTTTTTTTAATATACTGAGTTCTAAAGACCTAGCATCAAAATCTCTCTAAATTTTATAATGAAATGCTAACTCAAATCTCAAATACTTGGATGTCTTGACCTTGAGCACTCAAAATGTACACAACCCATCCTATTCATGTTTAATAGAATCATGTTTCCGTCGAACATAAAAGACAACACAACTCTGGTCTGACCCATCGATAGAAATCAAATTGCGGCAAACTCCAATGATTCAGCACCCACAATATCCCACGGACCAACGCCTACGAATTCACCAACGAGCAGCAATACAACAGCACGGGTAGTAGTACAGCCCCACGAAATACAAGAGCACAAGCGCACTCAAATATCTCGCAGATCTAGAGGAAGGCAGCACACGAAGGTACACCTTTCCAGCGCAGGGAGGGAGAGAGGGGAGAGGAGAGGCGCCGTACCATCTCGTCGACGGGGGCTGGAACGGAGGCGTCTGCGGCAAGCGGCGGCGAGGTCGGGGAGGCGGCGGCGCGCGTGCGAGGGCTCGATCCGCAAGCGCGATACCGAGCTTATATACTGGAGGTTAGGGTTAGGGGGGCGTGTGGTTCGGGTGCTTGGGCTCTTATAAGTGGGCCGAGCCAAGTGGACAGAGACAATGGGCTTCCTTTTAGGCCCATACCCGAGGCTAAGTTAGACCTGGGCCTCGAGGCACCAAACAGAATTGAATTCTCGTGTGAGAGTGCAATCGCATTTGATAGTTGACAGGATAGGTGAAATCACTGTTTGCGACTTGTGAGCGAACACCACTGTTGCCATTTGCCTAGTGCAAAAACCAGAAATATAAAGTTTTCGATCACCTTTACAAAAATGAATAAAAGCCTGGTGCTCATGCAGGAGATACTATGTCGTTTTTCTATCAACATAAATACAAACATCACAAATAAACGAAACAGAAATTGCAGGAAAAGGAAGAAAAGCGAGAAGGACATATCAAAGACATACGCGTTTTCCTCTAGGACAAGGAAAGGACCTAAAATCTCGATCTCACCCTTTTCAGCTCTTGGAATTACTCCCTCCGTCCCACTCAAAAAAGCACGGTGAAACTTAATTAGCACCCTTTTCAAGATTTTATTTAATAAAATCACAATTATATGAAAGTAAATTTAAATGTTAATTAATGATACTATTTTTTGTTAAATGAATCTTAATTTATAATAAAATGCTATTAGTTAGTTATTTAAAGAGTTGAAAACTAAAATACGGAAATGCGAAACATCGTCGCGGGCACGTTACAAGTCAACCAATCGGGAGCAACTTGACACAGATCCCTCTTGGAGTAATGAAGGTTAGTTGGCCGTAATCTCACGCACAAAAACACATCGTCGATCGAGGCGCCCAAAAGCGCCGATGATATTGCGCTGCTTAATTTGATTGGTATTAGCTGAGAGCAAGTATAATAGTAGGCTATAAGCCAACTATAAGCTTATGTGGAGGAAAGAGAATTTGAAAAATGGAGAGGGGTGGCTTGTAAGAGCTAGCTATTCACATATTTCAAAATAAATACATTAAATACATAGGTGAGAGATAGAGAGAGGAGGAGAAAAAAAAAAGAGGTAACCTTATAGCCCATTTACTATACATGTTAACTTAAGATAAGTTATAAACTCATTGTTGGCTTTATTATTAAACTTGCTCTGATGCTGACAGATAAACCTATGCCGAATTATGCCAGTGTCTTGATCTTGCACATGCTTATAACAAAGCTTATTATCAGCTGGTTGTTGGTTCAATTAATACTACTCTCTTCGTTTCAGGTTATAAAACTTTCTATCATTACCCATATTTATATAGATGTTAGTGAATCTAAACACACACATATATATATATATATATATATATATATGACTAATGTTAAAAAGTCTTAATATGAAACGGAAGAAGTAGATGTTAGTGTTGGAAAGCACATATGACATGGACTCCCCTACCCTCAGCTCTCACCTAAAAGTACGAAATGGATCGAAGAGGGTGCAACCGTGCAAGCACGCGTGGTACATATGGACTCTCCCTCCGCCACTGATTAGTTCGTTGGCGTCTGTAATTTTACTTATCTTAATCGAGACAGACAAATTAAAGTACTTGTGCTTTAAAATTAAGAACCCGATGCTTGTGTGATGGTCAAGTAAGCTACGAAGTTTCGGATGAATCTGTTTACATCCTTCTAGTGGGACATTTAACTGTTTGCCACTTTTAAAATATAACAGTTAAATTTCATATATCTATGATATATGGTTCCAATGATAAATCCCTAATTATCACTTGTATTAGTGGTAAATAGTTAAATATCTCTCTTTTAGCAATGCACGGCCCGCATTTTTGTAACTGTTGTAAAAATATACTCCATCCGTTCTAATATATTGTAATCTAGGTCTCTAAGATCGGGTTTGATATATTCTAAAACTATAAATTTAGATATAGGCGTATATAAATTTATAGTATTAGGATATGTTAAATCTGATTCTAAACAACTATATACACTATATATTATGAGTTTACGACGGAGGCAGAAGCTATCGAACCGGCACGCCACAGATACTACCAAGGAGAGGACGCTATGTCGGTATCAAACGCCAACGTTTACCCGCACTTCTACCTGTATTCTTCTGTCTGAAGAAACTGCGGAATTCACATAGTTCGTGGGCGCGTGGTAGCGTGAGGACTTTCACCATGAATGATCCATGCATATGCTCACGAACCAATTAAATTGTTGTCGAATTAATTAAGTAGAGCATTATGCAGGGATCGATCTACAATTCTACATGCATCCACGCGTAGAGATAAGATAAGAAGAAGCTTTAGTCTGTGCTAAGCTGGAACGTTGCGTGTACGTTTCTCTTTTGGACAACATGGTTATCTGGCGAGCAGTGATGAACTTGTGTATATGTAGCCACATAATTAAGGCACCATGTGCTGAATTCAGAATTATATACCGAAGGTGTTGGAATTAATGAATGGGTCTTAGCTCTCTCGAAAATTAATTCTTTAGAAAATCACAAAAGCCCACCTCATGGGATGACATACATGTGGAGTTTAGTACCACCTTACTTATTCTAGGAGAGGGGGACCTCCTTAAAAGGGAGGATGCCCTCCTAGCCACTTGAAGCATGTGTGGTGGAGAGAAGAGGGGAAATACACGCGCGCGCTCGCTCGCCTCGCCGGGCAGGGCAGGCAGCGCGCGTGCACGACGTACGCGTCGAATGGTCCGAAAAATTGGCTCCTCACCCTTGCGCAGATGCAGCCTCCTTTTGCAGTTTTGTTTTGCTGCAAATTCGGATTCGTTTTTGTTTTGGAAACGTTCCGAAAAATCCGGTGCGTGCAAACGGCGTGGAGTCCGGATAAGTTACGCGTGACTTATCCGGTTCGGTTACGCGCAGGAGAGATCGTGCGGGCGCCCTGATCAAGCGACCCTTCTCTATATAAACCGACTTGCCGTCTTCACGCAACGCTTGCGAAATCAATCTAGGGTTTGTCTCCTACTCTGTACTGCGCCGTCGCTCGTAGACTACTCCATCCCGCTCGCCGGTGTGCACCGGCGATCGGGAGAGCAGGTCTCCGGAACCTCTGCCTTCGACGTTCTGCACCGGGAGAAGGCGGCAATAAGGTTTTTGGGAAGCGCTTCGCGCGACTGCTCCCTGTTCGTTCGCGACGGCTCGCCTTCCTCTTCGCTCACGTGTTTCGTGCCTTCGTAGACACCTGCGAAAAGTTTCGACCAAGCAACCGGTCTTTCCGTCACCTCGGTACGTGTTCAATATGTTGCGCATATTTGATCTGTTCATGTTGTATTGTGTAGTTTACATGTATAGATCTAATGATGCGTTCATGCTAGTTTTCATCTGTAATGTCATGATTTATTTATGGAATAGATTAAATCATTATATGTCTATAATCTCAACAGAAGGCACCATGTGCTTAAACTGAATTATGAATTCAGATTTATATAGGTACTGGCTGGACTTACTAGTACTCTGGTGATCTGCTTTCCATAAGTTGGCCAAAAAAATTCAGAGAAAACCTGAACTAGCTAGATTTCAGCATGGGATCAACCGACAGAAGAGGTGAAAAAACAGAAAGGACGCCCAGAAAACATGCCTTAATTAGTCTCTAAGGGAGTATTTGGGAGAGATAGACTAAACTTTAATCCCTCTCATAAAAAAAAATCTATAGACTTAACTTTAGTCCCTCTCTCTAAAAAAAATAAGTCTACTTATTTTTTTTTCCCAAACACCCCCTTGGACACCAGCATTTGCCTCCTGGTGTAGGGTAGCCTTTGCCCAATGCCCACCATGAAGTACACAACAGGCTGTGACATCGCAACAGCATGAGCATATATATCAGTGTAGGTCCCAAGGCGATAGATATATTCTGTGATCAGAGGAAGGAATTTTCCAAGGAGAGGTGATGGTTGTACACTCGAGTACTTGACCACGGACCTCATGGAGACAATGATATTCCGAGACAATAATGGAAATAAATGAAGGAGAAGATGCCCTGGAAATGAAAATATATATTTAAAACTTAAAAGTACAATATTTTTGCACACGGGAAAAGATGCCCTGGAAAAGTACCTATATCCAATGGGCAAACATACTATGCAGTATGCACAAAGGGCATAACTAGTACACTGTACACCCCGTGCAATTGGCCATTCTTGGGTCTCCGATGGTGATGTGGCGGATCCAATATGGAGTCTCTGGGGTCTCGAGACTCTACTACCTATATTGTAACCATGGGAGACCCTTCCCATGAAAATCCCACTAAAATTTTTTGTCATACATTTATTAGAAGAGGGGGCTATAATTTTGTATAGTTTATTCAGACCCTCCTGTTAATCTTTCCTGGATCCGCCCCTGCGATCGAATGGATAAGATTTCACTAGAGTCATTTTGCAAATAAAACTTTCCATCGTCCTTATGTCTTTTCAGAAAAAAAATATATAAATCCCTATCATATCTTGTACCTCCCTTCAAAAAAAAATCTCATATGTATATGCTTTCTAACTTTACTTTCCTATATTTTCTAACCGATGAAATAAATAAGCGATACGTGAAGGCTAACCGAGATGAGAAATTGAAGTAGTAGAGGATGAGGAATTCATAGTTTGGATGGTTTTGCTTCTTTTAGATAATGGAAATTATTTATATGTCCTACTTTTGTCTTAAGGCACGTAATCATAAGTTTGTTTAACAAATAAAAAGGAGACGAAAGATGATGGAACGGATCCCCAACTCCCTCTTACTATTATCTAGCACTAAACCACATAGATTAAGCTAATAATTCTAATGAAATTATGCCATCTAATGTAGAATAAGGGATCCTTCGTTAACAATTTCAAGAGTATAGCATCATCGCGTGTAGTATCTTACTTCTCCTATCGTGGTATTGTAGAACAAATGAAGCAAATAGTAAGACATGAAGATAACCTGCATCAAGTTAGATAATTGCTTACCATTAAAAACTTTGGCATCGCATCAATGCAAAATTAACCAACCTAGTACACTAGCTCTGATTAATAGTTGATGGTTACTTTTGTGCCACTATCTAGATCT